AAAAAAAAAAAAAAATATATAAAATGAGAGAAAGGCAAAAAGAAGACAAAGGAAACAAACGAGCACACATCACAAACGAAACGTTTAATATCGAAGATAAAAAGAAACAAACGATGCTCTCGCTCTCTCACTTCGGATAAAATTACTATTCGTGTAGATCAAGTTCAATGATGATTAATCGTGTGAAGGAGCTTATCGAATCTGAGGGTATCACGCAATTGCGCACAGAGAATCACGTCATTAGAATCGTGCTATCGTAAAACATGTATATTTAGGTTTATAACTTTTTGCCACCATTGTATTTCCTCGAAAAAATGATCTCTTTCTCTTATTACTGAAACATAAATTACGATAAAGACATATCTTTCATAATTAAATCATAATGATTCATATTGTTTAAAGTTACTATTATAGAAAAACAAAATTTTCTACAGAAGGATGTTTTCATAAAAAGCTAGATTTTTATTGATTCTATACAAACAAGTATTCACTTATTATTATTCAGATAAATCGAAATTTTTGTTTTCTATTAAAACTGAAAATGTATAAAAATACAATAGCATCATCGAAAAATTTTATTGAATTAAATTGCCAAGCTGTAAAACTTCTACACGATTAGAATTCTCTTGAACCTACCAAACAATATGGAACACGCGATTCTAAGTTAATTTACTTATAACATCTAGTGCAGCGCGATGCAATAATTTAATGAACTGTGTACGTATATGTTGGAACACGCAGTGGTATAAATTCATATGAGCAAATGTGTGTGTCTCAGCCCATGTTGTCGAAGCATCAATAAAAAAGAGATTTTGTAAATGAGAACTTTACTTCCTGCCTTTAATTCCTTTTCTTTTTCTTAAAACATTAAGTTTAATGCTTAATAAATTTAGTTATTTGAATACCCGTAGTTGATTCTTCCCTAGCGTCTATTTTCTTTAATATTTGCAATCTATAAATTAAAGTTTTTTACGTGAATATAAAACATATTCTTAATAAAATACCAAATGTAGATTTAATCAAAATTAAATTTCGCGCCGTATGTAATTCACATTGCGCAGTACCTGTCATCCAATATGCAGAAGCGCTTAAATAGCCGCAAATTCAAATTCAAAAATCATTATTACAAAGAATTTTATTCTTACGGAGCAAAAATTTTTGTTTAAATTATTATGACAATAACATAAAAATGCTAAGAATTATTTAACATCGAAATAAATTAAAAACATATTTTATATTGCTTATATGTTTTGTTTGTTATATAATAATGAATACAACCATTTTAAAAAAGTATTTCGATATTTCAATTATTTTATCATACATTAGAAAATGAAATATACTTTAATCTTTATAGCAAAGTTTTATACCAAATAGGTTATGTTCAAATGTAATGAAATCAGTATTACCACGTTGAAAGAAAATAATCTCTATACTTGTAAATTTAAGTAATATTCATTACTGCCAAAATGTTTCGCATTAAACATTTTTGACATATATTTCTACGTAGGACAAATTAACAACATTTTATACGTATTTTATTTAGTAAAAAATATTATGTTTAACAACGAAATCTTTGTGATTGTCATGTAAATTATCCATAATTACGAAAGAAACGTTCCTAAATGTATCAAAACTGCAACTGACAAAAATGTTTTTGAACTACTATATCAAGAGTATAGAATATCAACGCACTATACTTAAAATACTCGGCAAACAGAATTACTTTTTCTATGCCTGTTTTATATATAATTCATATGACACATCTATGTTCAAGGAAAAAGAACAAAGATGAGGAGGCTGTTTCCGCCCCTAAAGTCTTTGTGCTATATAAATTTGTATACTTCAGGCTAGAAAAATTAAGTCTTTTGTTTATTGTCATGAGATAGTTACATCGTTGTAACATGTTCTTTGACATGTCCTGTATATACAATAATTCCTAGAAGTGATTGTATATTTATGTACATCTTTTGTATAACTCTTTTTAATGAGACGACTACGATTTGAAAGAAAATTAATGTAATGTCTACTGATCATACTCATGGTATGTATTTATTTTTTATATAGATCCAAGTTGTTATTAAATTACATACTGTCAACATTGCTTTCACAAATTAATCAGTACCTCATTGTACAACACATTCTTTTAATTAACGTAACTGATGAATAAACGATGCAATTAACTGCTGAAAATAGCTGTAAATTTTCTGTTATATATTAGAATGAGTGATAGAAATTGCGCGTCATATATAACATATTGAATTTAAATGGTATGTACGTATATTTGAACAAAAAATAAATTCAATATATAGAAAATTCAAATATTTAAAAAAAATTAATTACCATTAATTTATATAATATGAAATTTATGTTATTATAGTTTCTGCCTAACATATGTACAAAAATATTGAAAAATGTTTTTTTTTATCATTTCATTTTAATTGCACATAAAGTTTGCGCATTTTTAAATTGCATTGATAAAAGTTTTTTATGGAATCAGAAAATATGTTGTGTAATTACATATGTTTTAGGCTTTACGTATGATGTCAGCAATAGTGCCAAGCACACATAATGTGATTGATTCTAATCAAAGTTATGACCATGCAGCAGAACGACAAAAACTATTAGAAAATTTATTAGCTGCTGCAAAGAAATGTCATATTAGATTTGGTGGGCATACCGAATTAGCAACTGAATCGGATATATGTGTTACACAGCTCTGTTACATATTTGAATCAATCTTTAGTCATGGATTACGTACAAACTGTATTGAAAAAATCAATTCAGCTTTAAGGTAACAAAATAATATTGATTGCAATATTAATATAATTAAAATATCTTTTATTCAATCAATGTCTGATAAAATATATGTTGTGGAAAAATACACATAAAAAGTGATATTTGTTTTCATGTTTTCTTAAGATAAGGTTGATATTAGGATTCTGTGCATATAGTCATTTATACAATATGTTTCCTGTTTTACCTCTTATCACTACATATATGACTACACTGATATACATTCAGGAGATAATACTATGTAATGACTAATAACTACAGATATATTTTTATATTAACTGATGTTTGTATCTTTGTAGGCATGTTTCAGACATAGTGTCTGGTAGTAGTACAAAATCATGCAATACATCAGATGTAGCATTTTGGCCATGTATAAAGGAACAATTAACATGGCATGAACAAGAGCGTTTTAGTGTATTGAAAAAAGTTCATACAGATTATGGTAGAGGTAGAGCATGGCTCAGAGCTGTTTTAAATGAACGTTCTTTAGAACGTCATTTGCATGCTATACTTGATCCTTCAATATTGTGTTCATTTTATGAAGATTGGGCATTTTTACTTGACCAAGAACGAAGTGCTGTATTACCAAATGTAGCAGCAGGTAAAAGAACATTGTTTTCTTATCACAATAACTTATTTTTATAAAATAATTAAATTACATTTTAATTATTAGGACTTGGCAGTATTTTATTTGCAATTAGGATAGATAATGAAGAGTTGGATAATAATTTAAAAAATAAAGAAATGGAGAGACAAAAAGTTTCACTATCTGAACCAATTATATCATCTTCAATACCAGGTATATACAGCTTTCATTTTGAAATGGTGTATAAAGTTAAATATGATTTTTATACCAATATAATTAATGCTATAAATAGAACCTACTTCAAAACGAAGGAAAAAGGTGCCAACCCATATAATTTCTTTCGATAATGAAAATGATGAACAAGAAGGTATTGAAGCTTCCATCTCAGTTAGTGCACCTCCAACTTGTCTTAATTCTCCTACAGTAATATCAACAAAAACCTCTACATCACCCAGTTCATCAATTTCTCAATTTCAAACAGACACAAATGTCGTTACTACAATGGCTAATAAAGGAACTTCTGATTGGGAAAGCAGGTAAATTCACCTGCTATTCCATATTGGTGTTTAAAATAATAATACTTGGTCAATATTTTCAGTGAAACTTTTGAGGAAGACAAAGTATTAACACCAGTTACAAATACTGGTAATATGGGTGGACTTGTTCCTGTATCACCTTTAGATCAAACATTAGATGACATGTTAATAGCATTACCAAACTACTTGGATGTATGTATAAAATGCATTAAAATCTGATATATTTTATTTTTAACTTTTAATTGTTTTTATTATTAGTGTTATATTTCTTTTTTTATATAGGATTCGTCCGAAGTTGCAGAACCTGCAGTAGAAGCTACTGAACCCCTAACAGATTTAGATATTCATACAGATCCTGACAATTTGGATATCGAGACGTTACGAGTAAGACTCTTGGCAATGACGGAACTATTAGAACAAGCTAAAGAAGATGCTATAACTAGTAGATCACAACTTGCTCGTTTACAAAGGCAACATCAAAATTATCTTGAAAGACATGAATTACAAATACAAGCATTAAATAGGTAAAAATTCACTGCAACTATAATTTAATAAAATATAGAAATAAGATATACTGTAATATAATTATAATTTAATAGAGAAAATGAACTACTGAGGCAACAATTACGTAAGTATGTAACAGCAGTACAAATGTTGAGGAGAGATTCAGATTCTACTACAGTTTCCGAAGAAGATCCGTCATTAGATTATCATTATGAAGCTCAACAATATGAAGAGAAACTAATTCAAGTTGCTGACATGCATGCAGAGTTGATGGAATTTAATGCTAGATTAACTTTACAATTAAATGATAGGTATAATTATTACATGTATCATTACTAATAATACTTATATCTTATATTAATGTTTGAAACAATTACAGAAATAGATTAGTTAAGTTGTTACAAGCTGAATTAGAATGTCTTCGTGGCCCTATAAATGAAGATGACTTACCATTGGAACCACCATGTCTTATACATATATGGATTCCATCTGCGTTTCTTACCGGACAGCCTTCTGATATACATCACGTTTATCAGGTATCTAAAATGGATACAAAAATATGGCATATAGATTTAATATAACAAAATTATTGCCAAACATACACACATTTTTAACTGTTATAGATATACGTTCGAATTAGGGATACCGAATGGAATATATATAGACGATATGCGCAATTTCATACACTTTATAGAGAATTAAAGAAATACGATACAATTGTTACTACTTTTGAATTTCCACCAAAAAAGACAATAGGAAATAAGGTATTTATATATTTAAAAAAAAATTTCAAAAAATGATACATAATATTACGTTAATTTTGAAGAAAATATTTACCTTTACTTTTATTCATTTTTATCTAGGATGCTAAATTTGTAGAAGAACGTCGACAAAAATTACAACAGTGGTTAAGACGAATTGTTGGACGATTGGCACAATGTTCTCCAGCATTTGCATCTAGACCAAGTAGACAAACACTTATATCATTAATGCCTTTCTTTGGGTAATCTATCTCACAATTCTAATTTAACACTAAAACTTTAAGATTGAAGTTTTTCTGAAACTTTAAAAAATTGCAGAAAAATATCTTTAATATTTTGATCTTATCAAATATTAACTTTTTTAGTGATAACCCTAATACTGAGGATTCGAGGAAAAATAACTCTACAAGAAACACGTTTTCTTCTTCCCCTCAATACATGGGTTTATAATTATTAAAGTTTTTATAGACAATTTGTACATACACGAAGCCTTTTTAATTTAATGTATAAAATACTTATGTTGCACTATATATATATTATATATATTGTTGACAATTGAAGAGATGAGCATATGCCTGTATGTATACAATTGTAATTAATATACATTCACACATATGCTGTTTATAGACGATGTATGTATAAAAGTAATATGTAGTAAAACTAATTAAAAGTTAATCCTTTTTTTTACAAAAGTATGTATTATTTTTTTACAAACATTTATGTGCAATATTGTTTAAAACTCTAATTCATATTTAAAGAGAAATTCTAATCCTATTTTTAATCTTCCAATCAGATAAAAAAATATATTTCTTATATATTATATAAATTTGTTATATATCTTATATTTTAGAATAAACGTATAAAAATTAATAAACGTATTAAAAAATATTATTTAATGCATATTATGAAATAAAAAGAAATACGATTAATTAAAATGTGATTAAATGAATGGTGATTATTTAATGAAGTAACAAACAAATTTAGATGAAAGAACTATAGTTGATGCAAAGAATATGAAAAACAAAGCATCATACGTCATTCTTATAATTAAATTGTATAATAGCGTGTTCAATCTCGTTTTCTAAAAATTTTATTCATGTAAGGCGCCTTAACAGTAATATAAAAAGGTACACTTTTCCATTTATACTTTATGATAAAAATAAAAGTGCATATTGTTATTGGAACAAGTACATACAGTATTATGCTGGTAAATAATACAACTAATCGCATATAAGATTCACAGGTTTAACAAGTTGCATAGGAGTCTCACTATGGAGAGGTAAGATAAGAGAATTTTACCAAGAACCAATCATCGAAGAACGTATTCGCGCATAAATTTTTATCCCTCGAACGTGACGCTTATCAAATAATAAATATACGTTATAACAATGAAATTTCGATCATAATATGAATTGGTATTTGTACTGAGCGACACAGACTAAGTTTTTTTTACCTTTCCATATTGAGATATAAAAGTTTCTTGTAATAGCAAAGTTTATCGAGTCATTAATATAATCATCCTTAATACTTTGACTGCCGAGTGTGGAACCATAATGCATTTTCGTTACAAAGGAACCAACGATACGCTCGTATATTATTGTTATATATTATAATACATTCGATGACGTTGCCACAAGAGCTTTAAATCATAGCTCGGGTAAGTAACAACATAAATGACAAATCTCGATAAATCGATATTTGTCGTGTTAAAGATTGAAATTGCTTACACTTAATTCGATACATATGTATCGAAAAGTAAGACATTTGTTGCGTGGCAGTCAATGTATTAATTGCAATTACATACATTTCAAACAAATCTATGGAATCTATGTTTATAGCGCATCGCAATCATAGCATCATAATCATAGTAAGTTTCGTAACATAATGGTACATGATTACATTACTTATAAAATCGATTACAAATCAGACACATTCATTTCAAGTCGATATCATACAATATAATAATATTCTGTCTTGCGATAGGGAGAGAAAAAAATAGTCGAATATATTTGTTAAATAAGTTCTTAACGTTCCGATAAGAATATAATTCGATACTTAAAATTTAATGGACAAATACAATTCTTTAACAGAAATATTTAAAAAAAAAAAACAAAGATTACGATTGAAAGCAATTAAAATATTTGTAAACATATGAATCATTAAAACTTTGAATATCAAATATAAATAATGCATTATAATGATAAAATACTCAAAAATAAGGCAATAATATATTTTTTTATGCACTAAATCTTATATTTTAATTTGCTTTTATATTTTGAAACTTGATAATGCACGGAAAATACAATGTATAACTTATCACTTAAAGAGTATTTTATTCTGTAGAAAATATAAGTTCATTTATACATATAACGTTTCATGAAAGTTCATCAAGATTAAAAAAAAAAGAAATCTCGATTACGAGAAATTAACATACTTTACAATACTGATACGCGGTACTTACTTGAAAAATGATTAACGATACTCATTAAATTGTATTAATTTCTTAATTTACGATTCACAGAGATGCGTGTAACTATCCATTGTTTAAATTAGACGTTATATTGTCCAGATAAATTTGAAACCAAATTTCAAAGAGAAAAAAGGAAACAATAATAAAATCAAAATGTTATTACATGGACAAAGAAAGCGAGAAAAGATATTCAAATGTATAAAATTTTAAATAATGCCAATAAATCTGAAAATTTCGAAATACAATAATGAAAAGAATTTGAAATTAATATAAAAAGAATCAATATTTACTATGATTTTGACAATTGCATTGTGCCGTTTGGAAAAGGAGTCTAATCTCTGTTGACTATGGACAGCTCGTATTATGGTAATTTCTTTTATACACATATTTTTTTAAAGTTCGCATTGATCCACAAGTTTTTTTTCGTTCAACGAACTTTCGCGAGACGCACGAAAAGTACAGAATTCGTTGGCCTTAGTCACTACGTTCCGTACAAAGATTTCATCGTAAACGGCTTTAAATTATTATTTACATTCACTAGCTCTCTTCGCTGACTAATTTTGATTTAGCCCTAGGACAGACTAGAAGGTGGATAGATCCTTATGTATAAATTATTGATTTTCGATGTACCGTTATGAATTACTAGTAGGGTGTTCATGACTTTGCATTGTAAGATACTCTTTATACATAAAAATTCATTTACTTGAAAAAGAATGTTACATTATGTAACTGAAGTGCAAAAAAGAAAAAAATATTTATAACAAGTCTTTACAATATACAAAATTATACACTTCAAAATGTAAAATAATTTAATTTTTAAAATATAAAATTTATAACAACTAAATATAATCTCATAAACAACTATAAATTTATACATACGAAAATATACTATTACGAAAAAAACATTACATAAAGAAGGTTTTGCATTCTTCTGCTTAGAATAAAAAACGATAAATAATATTTTACGTATTTATTAAAGAACAATGGATAAAAGCTGCGATTAACTTTACTAAATTTATAAAATTTTCGAAGTACCTCTCCACAAGTATTACGCGATAAAAAATTTGCACGATTCTGAGCATCTTACAAATTACAACCATTACGTTTAAAAATCTTTGTGTTCACTTTTGTCATTGTGCGAGATACTACAACGATACGTCTGGACAGTCCTAGGGATAAATAAATTCGTAATTGACATAATCATTTTGCCATTCTGAAGCCTGCTCAGATTTAGATATGTAAAGAGAATGTACCGAACAGTAGTCACATAAGGATCGTTTAGTTAACGAATTAAAGAGTACCTATATTGTTTCATAGGTAACCGGAGAAATTTGAGCCTAATTTTATTTAACTTTAAATTTAGGTATATCCAAATAACAAGTAATCTTTAGTTTAGCAGTCTTTACACACATTCCTCTGTTTATGAAATTGACAACAAAAGCTAACAATAATGATAACACATTATGCAAGTACATGAAGGTTAAAAAGTGGAGCCTCATGAGTGTAGTCAAAAATAATAAGGCTAGCTTTTCCCTAAAGTAATTTCATTTTCTGCTTATTATTAAAAGTATGAAACTTTTTATTCACTATGATTAATACAATGTGTTACGTTAAAACATTTTTTCTTCTCCTCCAGTTTAAGTGAAAATACGCCAACAGATGAAATACGCGGTCGATAAATTTTTCTTTTCTTTTTTCTTTTTTTTTTTAGAGCGCCTGCAAACTTGACGTTCACATTCATGTATTCTTACAGCAATGGGATAGATGTCATTTAGGTCCATAGCGAAAATAAATAAAAGAAAATCTTCTTAAGCTAGTAAATAGCAGATTAGTTTTGTATTGTATACTTGTTAACTAGCCAGTGCATTTTGTATATATCCTGACTCTCTCATTAACCTTCCTGTCTATTTAGCACACTTTGCCACGCATTCTAAGGCATGAACTTTCTAGTGAGCTGGATAAAAGAGAGCATAGACCAGTGTGCCAGGTACTTTATGTGTTAACATTTTTCACTGTTGTAGCTAGATACAATATCATATTAGAAAGTATATTACTATTGTATTTAAAAAACTGTTCTTCCCTGCTCTCGATCTTATATTTTATTAAGATCCTTATTCCTCAGACCATAACTATAAAATCGTTTGCAAAATGTTCTGTATTAGAAAGCAAAAAATAAATTGAACTTCTTGAGTGGCTATGTCTGCATATACTAAATAAGAAGTTAAGCCATCACACGAATAACTCTTGGTTTTTTATATAGAGTAATTGGTTTATTTATACAAAGATATTTTTGACAATATTTGATATTTCTTTGATTATTCTTATTGCAAAAATATTTAATAAAAAAAAAAACAGTTTTTAATTATTAACATATTAAAAATATACAGATACTACCATAAATTTAAATAACACAATTTCAAAATATTTCAAATACTTATAGTATTTATACAATATTTCGATAATATGATAAGTTCCATTATTATTCATGGATGGCTTAATCAGGATTCTGATATTACAACACATGCATACTGTTATTTGTATAGAACGTAGATAATACATTTTTTCGCTATGATCTACGTTTATACAAAACCCTACACGCACACCCATACTGTGCCAAGTTAGGGAGCCATTTGTATGCACATCTGATACCACACTGGCTAAAGCACATATCATTTTTTACTTCAATCAATGTTTAATTTTACCACTCGTCATATTTTTACTCATTACATTTCCACTTTATATCATTAGGTTCATTCTATCATACATCCGTCAACCTGTCATTGCATGCTGTATTGGTTGTACATATTCAGATAGTAAACTAACATAACACAAATTAAATCAAAAATTTTGTAACCCTATGGTAATATAATTATTAAACAATAGAATATACTCTTGCAATTAACTTCCATAAGTTGCTTTATGACACTGAACACTATAATTGAACAAAGTGCTTGTTTTATTTTCAAAATAAAAACTTATCGCCTAAGACATTACTATAAAAAGAAGCTATGCAA